ATGCAGTGATCGCACGTACAAGGTCAGTGAACGAGCGTAATGAATGTCACGCACTATAACACCTTCTCATGGCCAGTGGGGATAACAGTGTATTTGTTTGGCTTGCCTTCGACCATGGCCAAGCAACAATGAAGCGTTAACACACTGCTGGAGGGTAAATGAAAAACCTCTTGGTTGCTATTTGCCAAGTACTTTACATACACGCTCCCATTAACAACATTATTTAGCTAATTGTAGTGCAAGACCAAGAGTATTGTTGTTTCCACTGCTGGAAGAAGCAGTCAGGTCTTTTAATTAAGTGAAACTTGCAATACAACAATGTAAAAATACTTGCATTCAAGTACAATTCCTGTATTTATACGCCTACTTAAAGGTTTATTGTCTGTATTTTTCAACCTGGACCTTATTTACCCATGTTTTGAGTCAAAGTGACTAATTGGGCATGTTTTCAAATTCGTGACAGTGCTGCCATAAAACGGGCTACAACATAATCCTTATGGGCAATGGCACACTGTCAAAATACATCCACTGAACACGTTTGATTTTGCCACTGACTGAAAATTTCAACATAAACGTCAAGAATCTTGGTGTTTATATATTAATTGTTTCTTGTTGTTGTTCTGTTTTGTCCCTGCATACTACTTTTCATGGTTTGCAGATGATGATTTCACATGGATGATATGTGCTGATATGTGGACACGTGGTTTGGATGAGCTCTTGCTGTGCTACTGGGATCCCTCCCCCAGCTGTGTGTATGTGTGTGTGTCTATTTGTGGTTTGTATGATATGAAAATACATCAATAAAATAATATTAAAGAAAAGATTAGATACAGCGCACGTGAGCATAATAATGCCGGCGAGGCAGAGTTTGTTATATATAGAAAACATGGTTTTGTAAAAATATTTTCAGAGGTTTTTTAGAGCTACTTTTGAGCTGTAAACTGAACTTTATGTTACTATACTGTGATTAAATAAATCAACACTGGTGTTAAAATTAAAGTTAAATTACAGAATTTATAAAAATCAGCATTTTGTGGGTTAAAAATGACTCAACACGCCCTCTACTGTTTTAAATTACCTCGAGCCTTCTAAGCCAAATGCTAAGATAGACTCAACCATTTGGGCGTCATAACATTTCTATTAAAAAAAACAGTGTTAACGCCCTCTAATCAGAGGAGGGCAGACCACCTCCTCCAGCCTCCTCTTTGAGTGGGAGTCTGTGAAACTGCTGCCCTCTAAAACAGTTTATGCTAGTTTTTGCTAACCCTCTACTTAGTATTTTTCTATTTTGGCGCAGTGGTTTGGACTTTAGACGGCTGTAGAAGTACCAACAGACTGCGGTGTACCTTGATCCTCGTCTGTCAATCACTCTGAGTGTCGAGGCCACACCCCCTAAAGTTACTGTCCTTTGCAGGTCTCTAATGCATTTATTAAATGTGCTGAGAGGGAAGGAGCTTGCAGAATTGAAGGGTGTAGTTACACTTTAATGTCATGACTGTATATATTTGTATACAGTATACAGTATACAGGTAAAGACTACAAACTGCAGAGTGGATGAGGAGAGAGAGTGGGGGCAACAGACGGGAGTGTGAATTATTAGATTGCAGTTTCTCTGTGTGAATAACTTAAACAAGTTCATTCAACCTGTTGTTTCCACTGTTGTCTTCCTGCAACAAGTCACCTCACCCCAGATTTCAGAACGAGACTTCTCCTTGAGCGAGACTTGGTTAAACGCACAGTGGATCAAGCGAAAGGAACAGAAAACATTTCATTTATCTGTAGGGTCGTGTTGTCAGACAGGCACTCACATAACAATCTGAGTTGGTCAGTGTCGAAAACAAACATTTTTATTGGATGTATTTTGATGGTGCGCAATTGTAGCCCGTTGTCTACATTAGTTACTCATGGGACAGAAATAAAAATGTAATTAGAGCATCAAAGTAAGTAATATGACATTATTAGATTGTTAATTCTGATGTTTCATTGTGTAAGCAGCACTTTACTGTTGTAGCTGGTTAAGGTGGAGCTTGTTTTAGGTACTTATACTGTGTGATGGTTTAGTTCAGTGGTTGTCAACATAGGGGTCGGGCCCCTCCATAGGGTCACACAATAACTCTGATGGGTTGTGAGAATATTAATAATATTAATATTATTAAACAGAAACTGCTTTTTTTATTCATCTTTTTGTCTTTTGTGTAATCCTTGTTTTTTTGTGCCTCCAATACTTATTTATATAAAGCGATTTGAGAAGTTTATAAGGGAAATGTCTTTTTGGTGGAACTCGTGGACATCTGAAACGTGACAAGGGTCCCTTATAGACACAGATTTGTTTAGGGGTCATAAGCCAAAGAGGCTGAAAACCACTGCTTTAATCTTGTACTATGAATTATATTTTAGAAGTTAATATATATATATATATATATATATAAAAACAATAACTTAAAAGGCTTTATGTTTGTCTGTAATAATTGGTCAGTGACATGTTGTTGAGACGATCACATTCATTTTATAAATTCATGGGATATAACATGAGTGATGCAAGTATGGAGATGAGTAATGGGCACATGAAAGACATGTTTGATGTAAATGCACAGACTGCAATGATATGGCCATAGAAGGGGTGTGGAGAGTGAGAGACGAATGAAAGCGCGGCTTTGTCTCCAGCTCCAGGCAGGCTTGAGAGCCCTGTTTTGAATGAGCAATATGCCAAGAGTGTGATTGATTAAATCATGGTCAGACATCTGTGAAGTCAGCACTAACACCACTGGGAATGATATATTCCCAGCAAGGCTTATACCTTGCATTTCTAATACACTGTGGACTTATAATGTTTATTTGAGCGTCTAAATTTAGCATCCAATTAAAGTGTGGCTAAAGCATTCATTTACTTTTGAATTTATAATCTATCATGAAACAAAGAAAACAACGAGTGGCTCAAGTAGAATTGGTTTATAGCCCAGAGGAGGGGCACACAGGAGCTCACGAAAAGGACCAAGACTATTTTCACTTCCTAGTTCTCTATTGTTCACAGACGAAAAGCTGCCAGTCATTCTGTTTTGACTGAAAGATATTAAATGAACCTCAGGTTAATCTAGAAAATACCACAATGCACTCAATCATCGTTAATCGAGGTGAGTCGTGCTGGCTATGCGTTGGACTAAGCGGCCTGTGGTTCCTGCTTGCTGTTTAGTCTATTAGTGGATTTTTACAACCCATTTAAGGAGGTTTCCAGGTGAACACAAAAGCTGGAAAAGCCAGATGTAATGTGCACAGCAAATTACACAGAAAATTGTACTCCTCTGTGGCTCTGCGGCTTTCACACTAATCCTGAACAATAGAGATAGTTTTGATGTTTACAAAAACAACATTCTTAGTCAAAGAATACTTTCATGCTCATTTGTAAGTCCATGCAGTGCTGTGTTGACTTTAGGGAAAAGGCCACAGGATGCTCAGGGGCAAGAGACTAGGATGAGGCAGACAAACCAAGAGACAAACATCTCTTACTAGTCGCTGATGTTGCATAGCTCTGAAGTTAAATTTCATTATAAATAAAGGTGCTTATTAGTTCCGGGAGGACAACGGCTATCATGCTGAAGACACACAAGACCCTCTAAACGTCTCCAGTTGCGCAGCCCACATGTGCAGCTTCACACTGCAGCTGTGCAGTCTCGGCAAGAAAACAGTTACCATCTGTATTGTAACAGAGCCCTAGTTTTAAATCATGTGTCAAACTGATGAAACACTTGTGAATGAGGAATAATTGGTGTGACGAGTAAATCAGAATTTGTTCACCCTCCCCTGCCATTTTGTTTTAAGGTGTGCGTCATATTATGTATCTCCAAATTGTCTCCAATTTGTCACAGAATCAAAGTGAGGTTAAAACGACCTAATTGGACTGCAGAGGAAATCGAGTGTGTCGCATCTGCCTAAGGCTGGACCAAACGCAGGATGTCACTCTGGCTCTGTGGTGTTACATGCTGGCACAAATAATCAGAACCACCATTCATGGCCGAAAATGAACAACACAAGCAGAGTGTGGTTTGAGATGTTTGTTTCACATGACGCTGAACTCATTTGTTAGTCTTAAACTGTTAAAATGAAAAAATGGTCCAGATCCCAAACAGAATGCAAAAACTAATTATTTTGGGAGACAGTGAGATTCGAGCGAGCTTGATGCATCCTTATAGATGACTGGAAATATTTTGGCTTCCAGCGTGTAAGGTGGCTGGCAAGGAAAAGGTTTATTTTTAGCAGCATGTTTATGTAAGTGACTACCATGTTGTGGAATAATGAGGAGGCTCTCTGGGCCCTCGGTGGAGCTACAGAGACGGGACTCTCAGAGCGGCAGAGGGTGATTGAAGGAAGCTAATGAGCAGGAGGGAAAAAAAGAACACAGGAGTAGAAAGGACTGGGATAATAAAAGCATGGAAATACAAAGGAAATACGACAATTACCAATGGGAGGTCTCTGTTAGGCAGAAGTGAATAGACAAACAAATAGAGATGAAAATGGTGGAGGAGAATGGCATTGCGATAGTGGAGATAATTACCATGGTCAGAAAAAAAAGACCACTGGCATGAGAAAACACTGTTTTATGTGATTTGCCAAAATTTTAAAAGCGGAAGAAAAGGACTGGAGTACAGTGAGCGTCACACTGCTGTGATTTATGAGCTCATTACTGCTTTTCAGCTAACATCCAAATTGCTTTATCTCTTTACTCATCTCGGCATTACAGGCATTTTTCCCCCTACATTTGGTTTCTTAGTCAGCTCTCATTTTTATTTCTCTAACAGAGTGTCGAGCTCTGGTGCTATTTCAGGTGCAGGTCTGAGGCACAATGCACTTAAGTGCAGTGACTCACCGAAAACACTAGAAAACTAGTCTCCTACCTAGATTCTGATATCATCTCCTGTTTTTCTTCAATATCATATCCTTCACGTCCTTTCATTTGCACTCCATTCTCTCACATACAACAAGCACTCTCATACATTATCTGGTACCTCTTCTCAGGAGGGGGCTCCTGATTGGCTGCTGGTGCTGCCTGCGCTGTTTCCTGCAGGTCAGGGATATTGGCAAAGTCATCTTGCTCGGCCACACCAATGGCCAAAGCCATGACGACCATCTTCCCTTCACTGGCTCCCCCGTTAAAAAAAAATACGATAAGAGACAGGAACAGAAATAGAAAGATAGGCGAGAAAAGAGAACAGATACAAAGGATAGGGAAATCGGACATAAAGAAGGTGTGGTGCAGGGGGAGAGAAGAAAGAAGAGGTCATTTCAGGTGACAGCGAGGACAGACAGCAGAGAGGCGACGGAACAATAAGAGACTGTATGAGAGTAAACAGAGGAAGCAGTAACAGAGAAAACGGTCATAAAGGGTAAATCTGCAACATCACATAACATCCCAGCAGTGAGCACTTTGTCCAGGGAAGGATATTAAGAAGATACCCTAACCTGAAAGGCCAGATTAATAATAATATAATGATTTTAATGAAGTGGTGCAGGCTGTGTTCACATCATACAGACAACATATAATTAAAGGAAGTGCTGATGATTAGTTAATTATTGTTAATGGATCTGATATTCAGCAGCTTGCACATCAGCTTCCACACATGTAAAAGGTATGTACAGGCCTGTATGCACACACACACACACACACACAAAACTACACCACCCTCATGCCCAATAATTTATCTAGTTATTCAAGCTGCCTTCTGCTTTCCCTCTAGATTCACCTTTCCCAACGAACACGCCGGTCGCCTTTCTCCAGAGTTAAGATTTAATTAAGCCTCATTAAGAAGATCTGGACTAATTGTTTCTATTTGAGTGACACAGTGTCTTGAGGTGCTCCGTGCGTGTCACCGTTTTCTGGGTCACTGCTCTCTCACTCTCTGTGTTGCACTCTTCTCATTTCATCTTCTCTATTCTGCTACACTTGCTCTCCAAATCCCCTTTCCCCTTCATCCCTATCCCCTACTCTTAATTCTCTGCCTCCTCATCACTGCCTCCTTCCTGTCACCCACACCCCCGGTTCTATAGCTTAAGCCTCTGACGGCGTTACAATACCTCCACTAAGAAAGTATGCTGCTGCCAAGCTGTGGAAAGATATCACCCTAAACTTCACAATTTCATCTTTCTTACAGGCTGCTAAAAGCTTTTCTTGCAGCACCATAAAGCCTTGTTTAATAATCTCCCAGTTAATGGTTCCCAACCTTTTATGTTGATTTACCCCCACAACCAGATTATCTACCCCTCCATTGACACCACTTTATAAATGTGGTAATTTGTAAGTAGTTTTATCTATATTTTTTATTCATTCTTTACTTTTAGCTATCTATTTCAACCTTTTAACCATTAGCTATACTGTTAGCATATTTATTTCTTCTAAGAAGAATAAACCTTTTATCTATCTCAAGTTCAAGGATTTATCCATCACTTTTAGCTCTTTATTTCAACCTTTTTTCTATTACTGTTAGCAAACAATTTCAACAATTTATACATAGCTAACTATTTCAACTAAAACTTTTACTTTAAGTTCAACTAACTTATTCATTTTCAGCTCTGCTTGCTTGCTGACTAGTCTTCACACACTCTCATTTTCCAACACATTTGTTACAGCTGACTCAATATGTGGATTTAATTCTTAATCAAATCACATCAATTAATAATGTATTCATTAACTGAGCTACTCTGCAATCTTTCCACATATCCCTTGCAACTACAGTGGTTGGGACTCAGAGGTCAATAAGGATATAATGGTCTGGTGCTTGTACTGATACTATAAGCACAGTAAGTTTTAACTATGAGTATTTACAGTCAAGAATATTGGTAAAACACTTAAATAAATCCACCAAACATTAAGGAAGCACAGGCGAGAGAGGGAACAGACATTAGTGACACTAGGAAAAATTATTGATTTTAAAAAAGTATGAAGACCAATCACCCAAGAGATCCATTTGGTCAAACGCCTCGAAAGGCTAAATATCTGTGGTGTCAATCACATCAGCACATTCACTGAGCAATGATTCACCCAGATAGGGAATCTCACCAAGATTGAAACAATGGGTCATGTCTATTACTGGACCGCTTTGTCATCAATCACATGAGGTGTTGCTGTTGCAGAGAAGGCAATACAACAATGACCTCAATCTCACATCAAAATGATGAGTGCTAGTTGACTGTTATGGGCGATATTCTCAATAACCTTGGCGGTGGCATGTGTTACATCGCTAATGCTCAGTTAGCCAGTGGCATTACTTCAACTGTGTCATTCTCAAGCTTCGGCACACATAAAATATACAAACTGCTCGTAAAATTACAAACTCTTTTACACTCGAGAAATATCTGGACCAGAATTCATAAAAAATTCAAACTTACACATAAAGTACATAAATGTGTGTTCAATATGGCACGGATACTGTGTATTGGACTATTTATTTGGGGATGGTGTCATACAATAATGTAGTAGAATGACTCTTAGGTGTTTGCAGATAAGAATTATGTATTATGTCTTATAATGTAACACAATTATAAAATATCTAGAATTACCACGGGAAAACCACAAAGCCTCACAATTTTATGAAACAACTCACTCCTTCTTGAGTAATGAGCCTATGAAAATATGGCAAATGTGGCAGAGAGACCTTGGAGTAGAAAATTAATACAATAAATAGTCTGGCCGAATGTTGGCAATATGTGAAAGAGACGAGGGGAAAGCTCACACAATATAATACAATACAATACAATAAGATACTGCAAAGACAATATCACACAGTCTCAAAACTCCACAGAATGAAGCTGCTGAACAACAATTGCAATGTAGAACTGAAATATGTATTTGGGAATATATGGGAATGTAGTTTAGTCAGACCACATTGGATCCAGGTGTTAGCAATGTCAAGTAGTTGGTTGAGAAATCCCTCAAATCCAGAGTTGAGTTTACTGGTGGGCTGGTCCCTAACACCAAACATATCCAAGGCTGCATATTCTTCTATTATTGTGGTATTGGGTATATTTGTCAAGTTATTTTAAGACACTTGAAGAAAACAAAGGCTACAGAACTAAAAGAATGGGTTAATGCAATGGCGGAAATAGCTTAGTTGAATAAGTGGTGATCAGGAGGAAGGGGTGTCTCCCTGGGACCAGTTTTGGGCTCACATTAAAATGGAAGATAGGTCTAAATAGATATCAGTCTGCTCTGTGACTATTCCTGCAAGTTACCTTTTTCTGGATTTATGTACGAAAATCTGCCTTTGTATTATACATAAAATGTGTTCCTTTATTCTGGAAACAATAACATACATGCCAAGCCTTTCAGAAATTAATACAAATTAAAAGTCTAAATAAACCAATGGTAAAAAGCTATTGTAAAAATGGATTCAGAGCAAAGGGACATTAAACACATTGTACCTTGACAGTGTCCTTCCTCATCCTTTCATCACCCCTCTATCCCTCTATCTCATCACCCCCACCGCCCTCACCCTAGTTCTGGCCTGAAGTAACAATATGTCGTGGAAGTAATGGTGCTGGTGACATAAGATCAATGCTTCAGGGTTAACACAAATCTACACACAGCTGCTTAACCCTGGTTCTTATACTGATGCACAGTGACACGTGGACTGTGTGATGTACACATGCTGACACGCATGTCAGCAGGCTAGTGCCACAACCAGCAGACGCAGATTTACTATAAGCATAAAAGTTACAGTGATACCGGGTAAAAGAGGTGCCATTTTAGTTACAAATTACTCATGAAACACGGATTAGGCCTACTGGTGTGTCTCCTAAGAAGGATATTTAACAGTCATTCCAAAGGATGGCTCAGACATAACATGTAATTGAGTGGGACGGTGTGAATATGAAATATATTGTGACTTTTTATGACACCGTCTCATGAATATTATGAACTAGCACCACTAGCTCTGTCCTGTTAAGACAATTGCAGCAGACAGGCTGAATGCCATCCAAACAGATGTTACTGTTTAGCAGAGCATACAGTGTAAACATTGAACAATTTATCACAGAATGGGATAGAAATAGCTCCACAATATGTCGCTCCTTCCTTGCCATTTTTCATGCACATGATGTCATTTGTTCTAAAATTAGGGAAAATACATCTTTTAACAGACTGCTCAATAAGAAGGTTTAATTATTGTCAGCTGATCACTGACACACACTGTGCATTCATATGAACAAATGTCGAAAGCTATAATTGCTTGTGATGTATTAATTAATTAAATACTCAGTTTCAGTTGAGATTTTAAAGAATCATAAAATATATCAAGTAACCATATGTACTACCCCCCCAAGAATAAAATCTAATAAATATAATCTATAATTGTTAATATCAGTGTGTGATCTATGCCGTCTTGATAAGATGAGACAATCCATCTCCTACACAACCACAGGGCTTAGAACTAAAATACTTATTTACATTTATAACTCTACCCTCATTAACTTTTATCTATAATAGATTTTTTTCAAATAAGCCAACCTCTGGCCTCATCTGCGTTCAACTTCATCATCCAACATTAACATAATGAGCTATGACATATTTCATTTGTAACTGTATATCGAAGAAAACACCACACACACACCTACATAATACACATTTATACATGTATGCACACAAGCACACAGTACATATTTTGACGGACAGAAGTAATATCCTTCCCTGGATATCAGATGCAAACTGAAAGAAAACACCCCAAAGAAAAGGCATAGAATAGTATTTCACAAAGATAAGGTTAAAAGCAGATTAGTCAGTGCTTAGATATACATTATAAACTATGTGATTCTAAGACATTAAGCTTTACACATTCAAAGAAAGAAATACTTTAAACAGTTGCATAGCATATAATGCAAAACACAGATTGAGACAGAAGCCTAAGCAAGTGACACTACAGAGGAACTATAACATACGAAGAAAGAGCTGTAGAGACTCACAGGAAGGACTTGACGTCCAGGCCACGATTCCGGATCTGGTCCATCATGTAATCCCAGCTGCCAGGATTGGCTCGTGAGCGCCCTCCTGCTCCACCTCCCCTATAGCGAGAGGCCCCCGCTCCTGCTGGGCTGCCCCGTGCACCCCGGGGACCACCTCGTGTACCTGCACCCCCACCCTCACCACTGC